GGGCAGAGCCACCCAAGACCAAGGGAACTTCTCTTTTGCATCAGTGTGACCTGGATGTGAGACCTGGAGTCAAAGGAGATCATTTTTGAGCTTTAAAATTTGACTGACCTGCTGGATTTCAGACTTGCAGGGGCCCTGTAACCACTTTGTTTAGGCCAATTTCTCCCATTTGGAACAGCTGTATTTACCCAATACCTGTACCCCCATTGTATCTAGGCAGTAACTAGCTTGCTTTTGATTTTACAGGCTCATAGGCAGAAGGGACTTGCCTTATCTCAGGTGAGACTTCGGATTGTGGACTTTTGGGTTAATGCTGAAATGAGTTAAGACTTTGGGGGACTGTTGAGAAGGCATGATTGGTTTTGAAATGTGAGGACATGAGATTTGGCAGGGCCAGAGGTGGAATGATATGGTTTGATTCTGTGTCCCCACCCAAATCTCATCTTGAATTGTACTTCCACAATTCCCATATGTTGTGGGAGGGACCCAGTGGGAGATAATTTAAATCATGGGGGTGGTTCCCCATACTGTTCTTGTGATAGTGAATAAGTCTCACAAGATATGATGCCTTTATTGGGGGTTTCTGCTTTTGCATCTTCCTCATTTTCTCTTGCCGCCACCATGTAAGCAGTGCCTTGTAAGCATGCCTCCCACCATGATTCTGAGGCCTCCCCAGTCATGTGGAGCTGTAAGTGCATTTAAACCTCTTTTTCTTCCCAGTCTCGGGTACGTCTTTATCAGCGGCATGAAAATGGACTAATACACTGTGGTTATGTACTATAGTCATATGATATGTTCATATTTGTGGAAGCTGAGTGAAGGGCAGATGGCAAAAACATGATTTTTGCAAATTTTTGTAAGTTTAAAGTTATTTCTAAATTAGAAGTTTAAAAAGAATAACTCACATAAGCCATAACACAATGGGAAGATGTCTTTAAAGTTCGAGGCAGAAGGGATGTCTGGAAATCAGTGAGAAATTTGCACCTGTGCGTGCATGTGCATGTGCGTGTGTATGTTGCAAGGACTTGGAAAGCCCTTTTTTTCCTACCTTTCTACTACTGTAGGGGAAGGCTAAACTTGACCTCTTCCCATCTTAGTTCTTTGTTGGGATGGACTCCTGTAACAAAAGACAGACAAGAGAAAAATCAGTTTATAACATGGGCCATGCACTTCACACAGGAGAAACCTGTATAAAAAGCAACTCAAAATGGTGCCTTAGAACTCCACTTATCTTTAATAAAGAGCAATAAATTAGTAGGAAAATCATGGGACGGGACAAGGGAAGTGGTTTTATGCTTCCAAGGGCAGGAAATCATGGAAGGTAAACATATGGGAGGAAACCTTGTTTGCATAGTCCTCTGATGCCATCTCTGGGTTGATAAGAGTCTAGAGTCATCTCCAGTAAAGGGGAATTTTTATCTGTCTAGGAAGAAAGGGGGGAAGATAGAGAAAACTTTTTCTCCATTTGCTGCTTAATTACCTTCAGTTCAAAAATAATTTTTATATCAGAAATGCATATTTAGGGTATATTGGTCCATTTTCACACTGCTAATAAAGACATACCCAAGACTGGGTAATTTATAAAGAAAAAGAGGTTTAATGGACTCACCATTCCACATGGTTGGAGAGGACTTACAATCATGGCAGAAGGTGAAAGGCAGGTCTTACGGTCTTACATGGCAGCAGGCAAGAGGGAGAATGAGAGCCAAGCGAAAGGAGTTTCCCTTTATAAAACCATCAGATCTCATACGACTTACTCACTACCACGGGAACAGTATGGGGGAATCACCTCCGCAATTCAGTGATCTCCCACTGGGTCCCTCCCACAAAACGTGGCAATTATGGAAGCTACCATTCAAGATGAGATTTGGGTGGGGACACAGCTAGACCATATCAGGGGGTAACATAGACTGGTTTCCTTTACTACCCACCTACCCAAGCACCCGCTTCATAGGATCCACACAAAGTAAACTCTTGCAGTTCTCTCATTGTTTCCTGGAGTCTGCTTTTGGTCTCACAGGACTGCCTTAACACTTGTTTTTCAGATGTTTACCCCTGTAGGTCTCTGGATAAATTTGCCTTAGAAGCCCCTTGATGTCACCCTGAAGAGTGGCTTTCAGAAGCTGTGCCTCCTGCCCGAGGGGAGTTCCAGGAAAGGTTCTACATCACCTGTGAGTTTATCTGGGTCACCAGAGGCCTTCCCGTCAGAGCTTTCCCAATCGTTTTTGGCCAAGGAGTGTGAGAAGCTAAAGTTCATAACAACTAGAAGTCAGACAGCCTGCTTTAACTCTAACAGGAAAGGTATTCATGGTGGGGCCTGAATATCTTCCTTTGTAAAATCAAAGCCTGGAGACAGGGTTACTTACTTCTGAGGTTCAATCTGGTTCTAAAATTACGCAACAAATGCCATTCCTGTAGCACTTCCTTCCTACCGGGCGAGGTACTAAACTCCACAAGCACCACTTCAGTTCATCCTTCCAGAAGTCCTAACGGCTCAGCCTGGGGAGCCCCATTTTATAGTTTGGGAAACTGAGGCTAAGAGAGGTTAGGTAGCTTGCTCAGGGTCATGCTGCTGGTGAAAGAGCTCAGGCTACAGTGCTATGCACTGAGTTTTCTCACTTTCCCATCTAACTGGAGGGCTAAAGGTCAAAGAGTGGTTGGCTCCCTTGCTGGGAGGTGTACAGGAATAATGTCGTCGCTGAAGGAGGGGGACTTCTGAGCCACACCCTGGGGTCCAGGGCTCACAGCCTTAGGAGCAAGATCGTCCACGCACTTCCTGGTTCCTTGGTGCTGCTGAGATACTCATAGGACAGAGTCTGAGTTCTGGCCATTTAACAGAGGAAGAAAGGCCGGTTCGGTGAGATTAACTTACATCCCAGCAGCTAGGAATTGGGAGTGGAGGACCTCAGATTCACACCAGGGCAGGAGGCAATGGTCTGGTTGAAGTCTTCACAATTTTTCCAGTATACTCTGCTGCCTTCGTTTGTAAGGATCCATTTCTGAAACCCTGTGCCCTGGCTGGACGCGGTGGCTCATGCCACTGTAATCCCAGCACTTTGGGAGGCAGAGGCAGGTGGATTACAAGGTCAGGAGTTCATGACCAGCCTGGCCAACATGGTGAAACCTCGTCTCTACTAAAAATACAAAAATTAGCTAGGCATAGTGGTGGGCACCTGTAATCCCAGTTACTCGGGAGGCTGGGGCAGGAGAATCGTTTGAACCCAGGAGGCGGAGGTTACAGTGAGCCGAAATCATGCCATTGCATTCCAGACTGGGTGACAGGGCAAGACTCCATCTCAAAATAAATAAATAAATAAATAAATAAATAAATAAATAAATAAATAAATAAATAAAAGAAGCCCTGTGCCCTAAGACCTGCACACTCGCTAGCTCCGCTCAGACATTTAGCAAAGCAGACACCTTCCCAAGCCTGGAGGAAGTGCCCCTGCTTTTTGCGAATCCACAATCCCTCAGCTGCAGAGCTCGACCTGGATGGGCAGGCCAAGGCTGGCTCATATGCATGGCGTGGGTCCAGCCTGGCCCCTCTACACCCTCACTTTCACCTCTTAAAGAACTGCCTATCAACAGAGCAGGTACTGCCCGAAAGGAACACCCTGGAAACTTGTTGGGATACTACTGCTCTTCATAAATGTTTGTGGTGAGTACTACTAGCATTTAAGGATTGAGGGTGAGCAATGCCAGACATACCAGAACACGCAGGGCAGTCTCCCACGATGAAGAGGCCGCCAGGTCCCCCAGGACTCACATGTCCACCTCAAGTTCACGTGGCATTATCTGAGCCTAGAATCTCAGTCCTGGGGCTGCTTTGTTTCATATAAAAATACAATGTTTATCCAAGGTTTTACTACACACTGCATTTTCTGTGAAGACAATGACCGTGTAAATCAGGGAAAGATCTGTATTTTGTTTGTTTGAAACTTTACCAAGCATTATTTACCATTTTGAAAACTCTATCCCTGGTAGTAACATTGGTTGTCGTGTTGACTGGCCAGCAGTGAGCATCTTACATGCGGCCTCCTGCGGGCTCCATATTGGGTGGCCTCACTGCACCTGCCCAGGCCCTTAGACCACAGCACTGCCATATTCAGGGACACATTATTCTCTTTTATTATGCCTCCACATTATCGTTACAGCATTGTTTTTTTTAATTTTGTGGGTAGGTTATGTTAGCTATACATTTCACTTCAAGGGTAGTAGTAAGGGGCACATAACAAAATATTTATTTATATATTTTAAAAAAGAGAGTCTGCGAAGTCTGAGACGTTTTCCCATAAAGGGTCTCCACCAGCCTCAACTCTGAGTACCCAAGGATTCAGTCTCAAGTACAGAAACATTGCAAAGCAGGACATTTACCTTGAAAGGAGCTATGTACTCTAAGTAGTGATTTACCTGTCTGCTTCCCACACTGGACTGACTTGAGGGCTGAGAGAGCAGGTCCTGAACATCTCTGCTGTGCCCCCCAACCGACATCCCCACAGTGTCCAGTACTGGGTTGGGGACTCAGGAAGCATACACGGGATCCCCCAGTGCCTTCTTTCTCGAGGTGTTCAGCACCTAGAACAGCTCAAGAGAAATCCCCAACGTGCCACCCAGAAGGAGCTGAATCTTACTGGGGTGAAGCCTTGAGTTGCAAGGCAGAAGCTCTCACGATGGGATTTGGGTCATATTCTGGGTTACAGGAGGAGCTGGGGAGTATGGGAAGCCTCCCACTTGGTCTTTGGTTTTCCGAAAACTCCACCATCACAAGCAGGATGTTAATCAGTAACCGTCCCATAGGCAATCATACTTTGGAATAGCAAATATTTGCTGAAGGTTCTGAGCTGCAAAGCTGAAGCTTTGGTTTCTGCTCTGAATGAAGGACATTTCCAGAACCCAAGGCCACACACTGGTAAGAGGTAGTGGGTTACCGGAGACCTTCAACGAGTCTAATCAGGGAGGGACCGGGAGAGATGGTATCATCTCTGGGTGGGCTCCAACGTGAGGGCTGCGTGGCTGAGCAGTGCAAAGGCCTCAATCCTGCACTCCATGGGGACTGCACATACAGACCAGGAGCTGGAGCGGGGTGAGAGGTGAATTATAGTCACAAGGGGATCCTCTGCAGGAAGGAGGCCAAGGGAAAGAGGCTTGAAAGGCTTGATAGTTCACCCACTGCAATTCACTGCTGGAGTAAGCAGGGCTCCCCTTCCCAGGGCTGAGGGGAGGAGGGGGTGTGTGCTCTCCCAGGGCTGAGAAGTGGCGGGTGAGCTGGTGGTTCCTTACTGCCCGGGCTCTGTCTAGGAAGGTGCGTCCTCACCATGCTGGATGGTGTCCTAGTCCAGGAGCGCCCCCTGAACTCCTGGCCTAGACTTCGAAGGGTTGGGTAGATGAGCAAAGACCTTACAAAGACCTTAGGGGATACCTGTTCAGGAGCGCCCAGGAATTACTGGGCTACCACTCTGCAGACTGTAGGACAAGCTTCAAGAACAGGAAGGTAAGACTCAGCATTTGGAAGCGGTGACATCTGGTTGGCGTGCTGGGCTAGTTTCCCAACCACTGTGACAGGGAGAGCTAACCTTGAATTCAGGAGTATTCTGTGTGGTCTTAATGTAGAAAGTAGCATTAAATGATGCCACATAATCGTCTTAGCTCAGGCTCCTCTAACAAAACACCACAGACTGGGTGGCTCCAACAGCCGTTGATTTTTCACAGTTTTGGAGGCTGAAAGTCCGAGTCAGGGTGCCAGTGTGGCCGGATTCTGGAGGGCTGTCTTCTTGGCTTGCAGATGGCCATCTTCTCACTGTGTCCTCCCATGGCAAGGAGGTGCGGAGGGGAAGTCTGGTCTCTCTTCTTCTTATAACAGCACTACTGCTATCACAGGAGCCTTGCCCTCGTGACCTCATCCCAAACCTAATCACCTCCCAAGGGCCTCAACTCTACTGCAATCACAATGGGGGTTAGGGCTTCAACTTATGAATTCTGGGGGAACACATTCAATCCATAACAATAAAAGCATGAAACTGGGCTGCGTTTACACTGAAAGAGCTATTTCCCCAACATTTACAATAGTTGAGTGACCTATTGAACACAGTCTTGCCATTTAGAGTCAAAAAGAGTTTCCTCAACAGTGTCCTTTGGGAAACACAGTGGAAGTATTTCACTGCTTCTTTAAGGCAGAGGGGAGTGCCGTTCAGACTGCAGAGTGAGGCCCTGAATTCTGGGGTGCCATTCAGCCTAAACAAGGAGCAACATGCTGGGCCCTGGCGCTGGAGGCGGTTTTGTCCCACGCATAGATAAGGACTCAGTCCCTGCATTAGGGAGAAGACGCCTGGGAGTTCCCCGCCTGTCACATTTTGCTGCAGGTGACCTCGGTCAAGAATAAGGGTCTCTGCGGATGGGAACTCTCATGAGGCCCGCAGCATCCACCCTGTGCTCACTGGGCTGGGTGGCCGACCCCATGCAGACCCTCCCAGGGCAGTGGGCCCAGAGAGAGGATGAGGGAGGGCAGGTGTCCTGGGGGTCCTGCTCAGTCAGCCTCTGGGATCAGGCCTGCAGTGTGGCTGAACACCAGAACTGAGTTGGGACACAGCCAGGTGGCCCAGCCCAGCCCCAAGCCATGTATTTGGATGGAAATCACGCAAGTGTTCGGGAGCCAGGCTCTGTGTCCAAGGATGTGGAGGGAGCCTAAAAGGCAACAGAGAAGGGGACAGTGAATGGTGAGGAAGTGTGGCTCCCACGCTGTGCAGCCGGGGGCAGTGAGAGCCGGCAGGCAGCCCAGGTGGCTGTGAGGGCTCTATGAGGCCACAGTGGAGGGAGCCCAGCAGTAGGTTGTATGAATTGCGGGGCCTCCTGCTACCTGGGAGCCGCAGCTATAGGAAGGAAGGAAGACCTCCAAGGAACTGTGTGGCAGAGGTGCAGTGCGAAGAGAATTTTGATCAAAAATCCAGGGAAGCTCCAATACTTTCCCCCTTCCTTGCCTAACAGGCATGCAGGCACTCCAATCCCTAGCCAAACAGGGCACAGGGCAAGGCTGGCCACCCATCTGGATGGGCAGCCTGATGGCCAGAGGGTCAGGGCAATGAACGAAGCAGATCAGGGAAAGGTGTGTGAGGACCCCTGATTCCACCTGCTCAGACCCCCACCTTCTGTGCTGCCTCCTGCTCCCAGAGCGGGGTCTCTTGCCCTAGCCCTCAGGAAGGAGATGGGATGAATAAAAAAGGGGTCAGGACCGAGAGCTGCCTGACAGCTGGGCAGGGAATGGGAACTAGAGGAGGTTTTGCTCTGTGAAATAATGTCCCCTCATTGGGTGAGCAAATGTCACCCACACTTGCTTCAGGTCTCCCTGGGACAGGGCTAACCTACTTGAGCCACAGGAAGGAGGCAGGGTCCCTGAAGAAGCTTTTACTATCCACTAAGACACTTTAGGAGGCATTAAAACCATCTCTATCCTCTTCTCTCCACAGGAAGTCTTGCAGCTGAAGGGAGGCACTCCTTGGCCTCTGCAGCCGACCACATGAAGGTGGTGCCAAGCCTCCTGCTCTCCGTCCTCCTGGCACAGGTGTGGTTGGTACCCGGCTTGGCCCCCAGTCCTCAGTCGCCAGAGGCCCTGGCCCTTCAGAACCAGACCGGTGGGGTAGTGCAGGCTCCCAGGGAGGAAGAGGAGGATGAGGAGGAGGCCAGCGAGAAGGCTGGTGAGGAAAAGAAAGCCTGGCTGATAGCTAGTGGGCAGCAGCTTGCCAAGGAGACTTCAAACTTCGGATTCAGCCTGCTGCGAAAGATCTCCATGAGGCACGATGGCAACATGGTCTTCTCTCCATTTGGCGTGTCCTTGGCCATGGCAGGCTTGATGCTGGGGGCCACAGGGCCGACCAAAGCCCAGATCAAGACAGGGCTCCACTTGCAGTCCCTGAACACCACCAAGCCCGGGCTCCTGCCCTCCCTCTTTAAGGGACTCAGAGAGACCCTCTCCCACAACTTGGAACTGGGCCTCACACAGGGGAGTTTTGCCTTCATCCACAAGGATTTTGATGTCAAAGAGCTCTTCCTCAATTTATCCAAGAGGTATTTTGATACAGAGTGTGTGCTTATGAATTTTCACAATGCCTCACAGGCCAAAAGGCTCATGAATCATTACATTAACAAAGAGACTCAGGGGAAAATTCCCAAACTGTTTGACGAGATTTATCCTGAAACCAAATTAATTCTTGTGGATTACATCTTGTTCAAAGGTACTTTGATAATATTCTGCTCTCCCAAGGCCACAGGGTCCTACAACTGTCTCTCCCTTTCCTTCCGTTAGGCCAGCATATGGTTAACACTAAATGATTTTCTATGAATGTGTTTTCAGGTTTCAAATACAGGTTGATACACATATTGAACAGTCACTTGAGGTCCTGCCCTGGCATCCTATGTGCTTGTAGTCCTTATAATTTTCAAAGCACTCTACACAGCTCCCCTCTGATGTTTAGAAGCACAGGGTCATTCCAAAAAGAGGGAGGTGGGGGGTTTATCTGGGGGATTTAGAAGTGAATCATTGCTCCTTCATTTTTACTTTTTTGACCAGCTCTCTGCCCTTAGATTCTTATTATAGGAAATAGCGACACTCCACCTACTATAGAGTTAGAGGTTAAATGAGACAATGAATGTAAAGTGCCCAGATGGACTTGGCACATAGCAGACACTGAGTATCTATGGTTTACTTGTTCTTCCTGTCAATCAGCAGGTAGAGCAGGAGTTGTTGTCTCCTTTCTAAAGATCAAAGCAGCTCAGAGAGGTTAGCCTGATCAAGGTCACACAATAAGTGGCAGAGGCAAAACCCAAACAAGAGCCTCCTGACCTCCTGATCCTAGGTTCTGTCCAGCCCTGCCTCCCTAATGGGGTACTAGATATGGGCTGGATGCCACTTTCGCAGAGCTGGCACCAGACTTGCAAAGCCCCGGCAGGGGAAGCCACTTTACAACCAGCCAGGCCACACCCCCAGGGCAGACATTTGTGTGGAGAGTCATGTACCTGCCTGCTGGTGGCCTCCGCATTGTGGGGCCTTCTCTCAGAACCACATTAAACAGTGGGTAAGTGAGAAGTGTCACTCCTGCCACCTTGGACTCTGCATGTGCTTGTGCCTGGTGTGAATGAGACAAAGTGGCAGTCAGAGGTGCCAGGAAAAGGCTTTTCTCTAAGCTGGAGCCAACTATGAGGGAAAGACTGTGGATTTTGTTCAGGTCCAGGACAATGAGGGAAGCCAGGGATTGTTAGGAAACATTTCCCTGCTTTCGTGTGCGATTCCCAATAGGGCCTGCAAGTGGAGTTGTATTTTGTTAGCTGGGCTAGAGGCCGGGGAAAAGCTATTTTGGGGAAATTTATTTTGCCTGCCTGAGCTGTGGAAAAGCAAACCCAATTAGGGAACGCCTTGGAATGAGAAGTGAGATAGAAGGTTCCCTCTTTATTATTTGAGCAAGAACAATGCTTTTCAAAGAGGGGATTTCTGCAATGAGTTCTTCTCTCACTTGTTCAGGGAAATGGCTGACCCCATTTGACCCTGTCTTCACCGAAGCCGACACTTTCCAGCTAGACAAGTACAAGACCATTAAGGTGCCCATGATGTATGGTGCAGGCAAGTTTGCCTCCACCTTTGACAAGAATTTTCATTGTCATGTCCTCAAACTGCCCTACCAAGGAAATGCCACCATGCTGGTGGTCCTCATGGAGAAAATGGGTGACCACCTCGCTCTTGAAGACTACCTGACCACAGACTTGGTGGAGACATGGCTCAGAAACATGAAAACCAGGTACAACTCTTGCCCACATCCTATACAAACTCTACCTTTCCATACTTGCAAACACTCAGCAGAATTTCGTTGAATGCACTGTGGTTTAATGCCCATCTCCTCCAGTGAGCTATAAGCTTCCTGAGGGCAGGGCAGCATTTGTCTTTTTTTCCACTCTATCCCCAACATCTGTCACAGAGTGCCTGGCGGATTCATTCATTGAGTCCACCAGTATTTCACGTTCTGCTACCGTGATAAAAGTATGATGCCAGGAATTCATCAGCAAACGAAACAGGAAAAATTAGTCTGCCCTCACGGAGCTTACATTCTATTGAAGGAAGACAAAGAACAAATTAAAAATAGGTAATAATGCAGGGAAGGAAACAGGGAGCATCATCAGGATGCAGATGGAGGTTAGGGAAGGCCACTCCAAGAAGGTAACAGTAAGCAAACATCTGAAGATGAAGGATAAACCATGTGGATATATTCGGGGAGAGAAATGTTATGTTACAGGCAGAATTGTACAAGTTCTGGAATGGAAGTGTACCTGGTGGGTTTGAAGAAGAGCAAGGAGGCAAGTGGAGCTTCAGCAGTTGAAGATGAGATCAGAGTGGAACCAGGGGCCCAGTCACCAGGATCCCACCTTACAGTCCCCAGAAAAGACTTGGGCTTTTCCTGGGTGAGGCAGCAAGCCACTGGATGGTTCTGAGTAGAGGAGCAACCTGATTTGACTTCTGTTTTTAAAGGATCACATAAGCTCCTGTGTTGATAAAAGATACTAGGAGGTAAGGATGGAAGCAAGGGAGACTGGTTAGAAGGTTACTAGCAATCCAGGTAGAGATGCTCCTACCTGGACTGCGGTGGTGGTAGTGGTAGTGGAAGTGATGAGAAGTTGCTGGATTCTGGATCTATCAGGAAGTGAGAGTTGGCAGGATCTGCTAACGGACTGCATGTGGGTGAGAGAGGTGTCAAAGGTGATTGCAAAGTTTTTGGCCTTAGCAACTGGAAGGACAGATTTGCCATTTACTGAAATGGGGAGGAACAGGTCTGGGGTAAGTGCAGAAGTTCAGTCTTAAACACTTAGATCAGAAATATCTATTAGACATCCAAGTTGAGATGTCAAGACGACAGGTGGATCTGGAGTCTAGGGTGAGGTCCAGGCTGGAGATATAAATTCAGTCATCAGCATAGAACTAGAATCTTGATGCATGACAGGGTTGGGGTCTATACATAGAGAGGAGAGGAACAGAAAGCAGAGTGGGCACTCAAATGTCTGCCTAGTAAGTTAATACACCTATTGGAGTACAATGAAAATGGCTGCAATATAAATTCCATGGCTATGGCTTCTGAATCCCGTGACTCAGATTTTGGCAGAGACGAGTCCAGCTAAAGGTCCCTGGGGTTAGTTTTATCTTCATTATTCTTCTTTCATTTTTCTTCATATCTTTAGCACCTAACAAAGAACCCCAAACATCACAAGCCCTCAAGAAATGTTTGCTGAATGAATAACTTTATAAATTAATCTTCAAGATACATCATGTCCTCAATTTTTTTTTTTTTGAGCCACAGAACTCATCTTTCCAAGCAACATATTTTCAAAGGAGGACTCCAGTATACAAAATAGATGGTATCAGAGTTTCTCTGGCTAAAGATGGGGAGAGGTTTAAAGTTTTCTTTGTTCCCCTTCCCATTCATCCCCAGACTCCTTGGGTCTGCAGAATCCAGGAGCTGAAAACAGTCATCATCCAGGAGTCTGCAGGATTGCTGAAAGCAGCTGTTATCTCAGGTTGTTTTTAAAACATAGGGAAATGAACACATAAGTACTTTGCTAAAGAGAATGTGAGTCATTGGCTGAGGAATAAAACTCGTTCCCTGAAGCTGAAGTACTATTTGATAAGCTAGAAATATTTTCCCTGAAATAGGAAATTGTAAAAGAATGGCATGAACTTCATAGTCAACTGAAAGACTCATTAATGGAAACAATCTTAAAGAACAAAAATTGTGACCTTTTTGGTGTCCATAGACTATGGCTTTGTCTACATTTCACCATTATCTGTTCTCGTACCACAGAAACATGGAAGTTTTCTTTCCAAAGTTCAAGCTAGATCAGAAGTATGAGATGCATGAGCTGCTTAAGCAGATGGGAATCAGAAGAATCTTCTCACCCTGGGCTGACCTTAGTGAACTCTCAGCTACTGGAAGAAATCTCCAGGTATCCAGGGTAAGTCAGGATCTTTCATCAGAGCCCAACCTCAGCATGAAATGTCACCAAAACAAATGTTTTTACAAACCATTTAACTTTGATAAAATACCTAAGTGTAATGGAAAATTATATTTACATCCCAAATACTTGAAATAGCACCCAGGTTGGATGTTTTAAGAATTTCAAGCAACTTTATTAAAATACCTTTTCAACTATTTCAAGTAGACCTCTCTCCTTCTGCTTAAGTGCTCAGGGAGAAATTTGCCCCTGAAATAGAACTGGTTTACAGATACATCATCATTTATGTTGAATACAACTTGAATAGTTCATGAAATTACACCACCTTTACAATGAAAGAAACCCCTAGAGATCATCTAGCCCAACTTCTCCCTCCTTGTGGAAATCCCCTCCATAGCCCTATGAAATAGCCCTCCAACTTCTGTCTCTTCCTCTTCATGCTTCCAGTGACAGCAGACTCACCATTTCTTTGAAAAGCTGCCTAATCCACAATAGCTAAAATTGTTTATATATATGTGTATGCATGTATATGTGTATGCGTATACATATGTATATACATATATACATACATACATATATATATATATATATAGAGAGAGAGAGAGAGAGAGAGAAAGACCTATAACTTCTACCTCATACTATTTCTAAAACTAAGAACAAATTTAGTCACCATCCACATAGAATCCCTTCAGTTACTCAGTGTTTCTCAGTGGAAAGGTTCTTGGTTTTGAGGGGAACTGCTTGTTGTTCAGAGCAGTTGTGCATGTTGCAGGGAACTGGTTAGCATTGCTGACCCATGTTCACTAATGCCAGTAGGAAACTCCAGTCATCACTATAAAAATGCTCCCACACATTTCCAAATGGCAGCTACATCTCTCTACATTCTTCCTTAGTTGTGTGGTTTGGCTAATATTTTCTCTTACAATTGCAATTTTCAATTCCAAGAGAGACTAAAAATGGCATCCACTGAAGTAGGACACAGTAGGGCAACCGTGGCCTGGAATCAGGTTTTACCACCTCAAGAGAGATAAGACAATTAAATAAAACAACCCTGCAGACCAGCACCTGAAAGTGTTTCTGCTATGAACACATGAAAAACTGAAATGCACTGCTGATTTACAAAGGGCCATCATGAAATTTAAATTGTAAACCATTAAATATTCTCCCTCTGTTTGCTCTGGGGAGTTAATTTTTCTCTAGGAAATTAGGGAATTTCCTGGAGTGAAAATCAGTGTATGTTTTTATTCTCTATTATAACACAGTAATTATATAGGTACATCACTCATATCACATCCTGTTTCTGTAAAAAAGGGTCTCCCAAACATAGCAAGCAGCCACAATATAGGCAGCCAGAATTCAGGAAGGCTCCAGGGACCCCTGGGCTTGGCCCAGAAAATGCCTCAGAGTAGTACCAGGTGCTGGGAAGCTGATACGGAAGACTAGCCATTCCCTGCCTCCACCTTGCCTGCCAAAAGGAGTCAGAGGACTCAAGGGATCCAGGCAGCTTGAAAACCTTTTAGGAGCACCAGCTCAGCTCAACAATTAGTAGTATAAAGCACATGCTCAATAAAGATTTGATGCATGAGTGCATCCTGAGTCCATGCCTGGAATGTGTTTCACATATTCCACAATACTTCACATTGGGTTCCTGAGGTCTTCTGGTATTGTTGGAGACTCCTGTGCAGTCCCTGGTGAAACCCCAGACCACTGCTCTTAATGTAGATGGGCCTGCTCCACTAAATCCCAGTAGCATGATCCCATGGGTAGGACCACTGTGAGGAATTTCAAGGGGCTCATTTAATTCCTCCTTTGCACTGCCACACAAATGGTTTTTCACACTATTTCCTTTTCCAGGTTTTACAAAGAACAGTGATTGAAGTTGATGAAAGGGGCACTGAGGCAGCGGCAGGAACCTTGTCAGAAATTACTGCTTATTCCATGCCTCCTGTCATCAAAGTGAACCGGCCATTTCATTTCATGATCTATGAAGAAACCTCTGGAATGCTTCTGTTTCTGGGAAGGGTGGTGAATCCGACTCTCCTATAATTCAGGACACGCATAAGCACTTCGTGCTGCAGTAGATGCTGAATCTGAGGTATCAAATCCACACAGGATACCAGCAATGGATGGCAGGGGAGAGTGTTCCTTTTGTTCTTAACTAGTTTAGGGTGTTCTCAAATATAGTAGTCCCCACTTATCTGAGGGGTATACATTCAAAGACCCCCAGCGGATGCCTGAAACGGTGGACAGTGCTGAACCTTATATATATTGTTTCCTACACATACATACCTATGATAAAGTTTAATTTATAAATTAGGCACAGTAAGAGATTAACAACAATAATAACAACATTAAGTAAAATAAGTTACTTGAATGCAGGCACTGCAATACCCTAACAGTCAAACTGACTATAGAGAAGGCTACTAAGTGACTCACAGGCGAGGAGCACAGACAGTGTGGAGACATTGGGCAAGGGGAGAATTCACATCCTGGGTGGGACAGAGCAGGACGATGCAAGATTCCATCCCACTACACAGAATGGCATGCCACTTAAAACTTTTAGATTATTTCTGGAATTTTTCATTTAATGTTTTCAGATCATGGTTGACCATAGTTAACTGAGACTACAGAAAGCAAAACCATGGATAAGGGAGGACTACTACAAAAGCATTACATTGATTTTTTTTTAAAGATGTTTGTGTAATCTGTCTGGTATTTTAAGCCTGTTTCTAACAGCCTTAGTTATTTGGCTGAAGACTAGCTGGGTAGAATATCTTTTCTCTGTTGCTCACATATTTGGATTTTTAAAAAGTTGTAGATGAGAACACTATGTAGAGATAAAGCCCAAAGCCTTTAACAACTTGATAAGTTGTTAAACTGAGAACTTTCACAAAAGTATCCATCTTGTTTTTGATATAAATGGAGATACATGTAGATATTCATAACTGTCACTAATTTGCTTTTTATCCTGTTTCTACATATCTGTCCTTGGAAATATAATTTTAACAAATATTTCAAAGATTTTAGGAAACGTCATGTTCTGTTAAAAACTTCCAAAAGTAATTTTGATTAATAAAGCCTTTGGGCTTTATCTCCTTGAGTCAAGTGCTTCTCTCTCTTTACTTCTCTCTGGTGCAACATAAGTGTTTTATTTTAATCTATTATGGAGTCATTTATTGCTGACTGACATCAGAAGAAAAATAGCTCTAATTAGTCCTGATCACAGCATCTAAACTTCCACGGTGCATCAAATCGCTTGGCAGAGGCATTGGCTGAACCACAGATCATCTAGTTCAATACCTTCATTTTACAAAGGAAAGAAAGAGGGACCCAGAATCAGGTCCACATTCTTACTTTCATGGGCCGTAGGCACTTTAAACCTCGTAGACTCCTTTCCTTCATGAAGATATATATGTTTTATGGCTGCATTGGTAGAAAGATGAATATATTTGTCTTTTGAAATTGCGTATCTGGCTTCAGAGTTATTTGTCTAGCATATGGCGATAAGCAAAACACCTTCATGGGCCCTTACAGTACTGTCGGCCTTAGGCACTGTGTCTTCTGCATCTAGTGGATAAGTCATACCTTATATACCAGTGGGAAGAAAACACTTGTCCAAGGTCTTCCAGTGTGGCAATGGCAGTCAGAGGCCTACCTTTCCTGAGTCTAGTCCCCAAGCCCTTTTTACTCTTCCTTCCTTCCATCTAAAACATCTGATGGGGACTAGGTAAACAGCATGAACTATAGCTACCCATGGGGGTTAAACAGAATATAAGTACAAACTTTGTCCCAGGGTGAAAAGGGAAATTGTAAATATCCCTGATCTTCCTTAGGCAGTCATTTTCTGTCACAGAAACAGAAAAGACCATATTCAGAGAATCCTGAATAGAGCTAACTTACAGTGTCAACTATGTTAATTAAATGCCTAATTGGATTTCTGTCTGTCTGCTATCTAATGTTTAAAAAAATCTAAAATTCATTTATTGATTATTTAATATAATCCAGAGTAATGTGAATAGGTAATAATATTAATATGCAGCCTAAATACAGTCTTTTCATCATTCCAGGTTTTGGAATGATGAAAAGTCAGTACTTAGACTGCATATTAATAAAATAAAATTCATTCCTGTATTCATTCCAACAGCACTAATTGACACTTATGAAGGGACAGGCAATTCTAGGCCCTAGAGGGCCAAAGACAGAGGACTAACTCTAACTGACATTCTTAAGTCACCCTGTTTGTGTTCAATTAGTCAGATTTGTTTGTGGAAAAATAGTAGAGGAATAAAGTAGAATCCAGTCAAATTTCCCACTTTTAAGAGATGAAATCTGGAAAATTAAGTCTGTGAGAGCACAATACTCACTGAAATCAATATGGCCAAACCCAGTTATAAAAAGGTACATTATTATTGAAGGATTCATACAGCATGCAGATAACAAACTCCTGCCTTCTTCCCACCATATACACTGCAAAGCAACAACAGCATAATAATTGTATTTAACATACTACTCTTTAAGGTAGAAAATGGACCTATTCTATGTTTTAAATATACTTTTTAATGTTCCCCCATATTTGCTTTAAGAAGCTCCTAAGACACTCAGTTTCAGATTTCCCGAGTACACAGGCATGACAGAAAAATGCAGACCAATAAAAAATGTAATTTACCTCACACAAATACACACACACACAAATTCGGGGTTTCCAACTGAGCGGGGAAAATCTTAATATTGTACAAGTCTTCACTATATGTAAGTGTTGTGTTTTTTTGTTTTGTTTTGTTTTTGAGACGGAGTCTCGCTCTGTCGCCCAGGCTGGAGTGCAATAGCACGATCTCGGCTCACTGCAACCTCTGCCTCCCAGGTTCATGCCATTCTCCTGCCTCAGCCTCCCAAGTAGCTGGGACTACAGGCGTCTACCACCACACCCGGCTAATTTTTTATATTTTAAGTAGAGACAGGGTTTCACCATGTTAACCAGGATTGTGTTGATCTCCTGACCTCGTGATCCGCCTGCGTCGGCCTCCCAAAGCTGGGATTACAGGCGTGAGACACCACACCTGGCCAAGTGTCGAGTCTTAAAAATTGTTCCTACACAGACACACTCAACCACACATTCTCACACATACATGCTGTAACAACTGAGAACAGGTTACTGACTTAATCTAATTCATTTTATCCTCATTGTAAAACTTCTACTCCAGTTGAAGAGCCTGTTTCATTTCAATTCAAAGATTTCTCATATATCCACTAATTGTATGGCAAAACTGACTCATCTCCAGACTAAGATATTCAAGCTCAGGAAGTCAAATAATAGAAATGATTTTTTTAAATGTGTATGAGGTTATAAAGAAAAATTTCATGTGCTCCTTATTTAACCTCTATAAGGTAAATCCTTTATAGACCTATCTCCATTTCTGCAGTAACAGTGAGCTCTACAGTTAGCTGTAAGGCTAACTAGTGAAATTCTTGGACTTATTCTTAAAATGCAAGTTTTGGTAATTAACAAAATGATGATGAAGATGTCCCTTTTCCCTACAGCTACAGATGGAGGGAGATTTTTGTTTGCCATACAACTAGTTTAAAGGATTAATTTGATAAGTTGTTAAATTGAGAGTTTTCACAAAAGTATCCATCTTGTTTTTGATATAAATGGAGATACATGTAGATATTCATAACTGTCACTAATTTGCTTTTTATCCTGTTTCTACATATCTGTCCTTGGAAATATAATTTTAACAAATATTTCAAAGATTTTAGGAAATGTCATGTTCTGTTAAAAACTTCCAAAAGTAATTTTGATTAATGGTTTGATAATTTAATACCTAGGACTAAGATTGCAATTGACTGCTCTACATTCCTGAACTTTATAAGCAGTAGTTTTTCTCTATCAAATCAGTTTCCCTTCTCCCATTTGCATCATGGGAAAGTAAAAGCTTATAATTCTGCTAAATTTATTATAACAAATAAATTGAAATTCTCCATTTTATTAATAGAATGCTATGAATCAAAGCACCAAAAAAACTGGTGCAATTTTGATGTCTCATTCTGTACCAAATTCTCCAGATCTTAATATATTCAGTTCCACATTATTGGTGCTAGTAGGAGACATGATGAAAACAGTTAAATGAAATCCACAGCGAGTGTACTGATTACTTTAACCAGTACTGTCAAATTTCTCATACCTACTGAATTTTAACTTCTGACAAAACGAGTAGTAACAATTCCATTTACCTGGTTGTCCTTTGGCAAAGGATATTACGAAGAATCACTAAAAATAGCCAAAAAAGAAGCCATATGGATGGAAAAAGGAAAACAAATGGCATGAAAAGGTCTCACACTGAGTAACTGTGCTCTTATAGTTGACACTGGTATATTTCTTTTATTCACTACCTAAAACTGAACTATCTTACTCTTTAATTATAGAATAAAAACTGCAGGAGAGTATTTAAAACTTTTTTCACAAACACAGGTATCTCATTAACCTATGTTTTATTTTGAGTAAATTCATTATTCATTATTTCACATTATAAAAAGGAACCACACACACATATGCATTCACAAATTAGATCATCTTTATCATACATCGATACATTTTAAAAAACAAATATTTTCTAATATCAATATAGTTATATGCTGATTGCATTTTGAAATAGAGAAGCTGACAATAGCTTCATACAGTATATCTCAAGAACTGACAGTTTAAAATTAAGAACTGTATATATCCCACAGGCAAATTTTGATGGAAATATTAGCATTAGTACAAATAAATGCTGTTGACATAGCTTAAGCATGATAGCTTGGAATAACAGCTGATTCAGACTAGATTCATCATTTTAAATTAAATAAGGACAAATACAATCTAAAATGTAAACAAAGTATAAAATAAATTCTCTAGGAAATAAAGAAAATCATCAATCTATTATTTTTAAGGTATTTATAGCTCAAAGTTATCAGAAATCTTTGTGGAATTTTCATTGCCAAATTTAAATTTGGGAATGTCCGGGTACAACATATTGACACCACAATCCAGAGGGCTGCCAAAATCGCAGACGGCTATTTGCATCCTTTCAGTGTGACTTTTCAAGTGGGCTTGGAGAGTCATGAGAAAACGCAGTATCTTTCTTACCTTCCAAGTCCCCCTCCAAGTGATTATGAAGCTAGGGCGATTTCAGCTGATGTAGACTTTCATACGATTTTTAAATGCTAAAACTTTAGAACAATTAAATAGCTGGTTTCCTGCACAAATAAATGCAGACTTGTCTCTTTTACAGCAGTGGTTAAAGCACATACCTAGAGATGTTTTTCATTACACTTCACTATAACACTGGAATTCTGTAACCACATTATTACTCAAGAAATATATATTATACCTCCTAGGGAATCTAATTTGAAATATGGAAAGTTTAACATCAGCTGTCATTATGTCTCTCTTTCCACTCATTAACAACAACAAAAAAAACCCCAAAACCTAAAAACAAAGCCCCAGCCATTGCTTTAGCTTTTGTGCACCAATCACATTATCTTCTGCTGCCTTTGTTTTGCCTCCTTCATCAAGCAGTTGATTTAAGGATTGGATTTTCTGGATTTTCTTTGGGAAGAAAGAAATGAAGGAAGAGAGGGAGGGTAGGGAAGGAGGGAATAAGAAAGGGAGAAAAAGAAAAAATATGAAAAATGTTATTATGTGTACAAAG